TAAATCTCTGATTACAAAATTAATACGTCGCTAATTTAATTCGAAATCAGAAACCTGAACCTTAAGTCTGAAACCCCCTATCGTATGAAATTGAAAATTCTATAGATTCCATAATATAAATTTTACTGAACTGATAAAAAATGATTATTGCAGTTTGCAAAAAGGTGTGGCCTCTGCAGACTACAGTTTCTAGCAAATTTTTGAAAAAAAGTTTAAAATTATATGGGATTTTATAGCACTCTGCAGAAAACTGCCACATAATTTTTGTGGTGTTTGGGAAATTTGAAATTTGATATTGTTTGTTGTTTTATATCTTCGATCTGTTACATTTATATTTCTTAAGTATAACTAGTTATGCGCTTGTTTATGCGCTGGGAGTTTCTCTAGCGTTAACACTAATTTTTGTGATATTTATTATTTAGGTAATTATTTAGGGGAAAGTAGCGATAATAAATTTACAAATTTTTAAATACAAACAGTAAATATTCTGATTTTTTATTGTCATAAAAATAAGTTATAAAATCGTTGAGGTTTGAAATATTTAATTAAGTTGTTTTAATTCGGTCGTACATACGTATGTACGTACATACGTAATTTGTACTACCTTCTACTCAGGTATCGATTTTCATAATTTCTATTAGACCTTCACATTGTTTTCGTAGCGCTTGAAAGTGTTTTGTTTGATCGGTTTTAAACATTTCGTTGCTTGATTAATGACGTTGTATTAGTTTTTCATATTTTTTGTTTGTTTGGTGTTTTTATTCTTATTGAATCACGGTGTTAATTTGTTTCTATTTTAAGTGAAATAATAGTCTTCATTCGTATCTTAATACAATAGAAGTTCTATGCAGCTGAGGATTAACGTATCTTTGCGTGCGGTATTGTATGTCATTACAGTCTGGGATTTTTCAAATTTGGATCGACGTCACGGATTTGTTCTAGAACTTAGAAAATCATCGATCATCCATATAACTAAATTTGATTGGCTATTTTCACCAAATTTTAATCTAAATCCACATGATTTTTCTCAAACGACAAATTTTTTTAATCTATAAAAATTACTTTCAAGTTAGTACTTAAAGTTCTAAAGATTTAGAATCCACTGAAGTTATGGTTGAATCCACGCACTGGCCTAAGCTATATGTGTTTATAAAATAGGTAGTTAGGTAACTTTTTAAGATTTGCTTGGGCTTAATTTTGCCTCTATTACGCATTGTTTGTGTTAAACTTTGTTTAAAATCGCTCAAAAATTAGTTACTAAAGCAAGAACCAGTTAATTTTAGTAGTCAGCTCAGTACCACGAAAAGAATAGAAATTGAAGTGTTAGAATTCAAAGTGGAAATAAGAGGAAGAGGATGTAATACGAATTGTAACAAGGATATGGTTCTTAATCGATAGACTTTACCTATATATGTGAAGCTATAACGTTTAGTGAGCAGTAATTAGAACAAAAGTTCCCAATCTCAACTGAAGTTTTTTATCTCATATGCCAAAACGATATAACATCCATTGTTGATAGAATTGTAATTGGAATTTGCAGAATTAGCTAAGTTATTTAATATTTGCTGTTAATTCTTTACAATGACTAATTACAGAATTAAGCAAGTACTGATGAAATTATTTGGTTTTTATTAGTGCTGTTTAATAAGAGTTCAAAAGAAAGAATTTTAAATGTTTTATTAACCATGAATATAATCAAAAATCGACATGATGGTAGTAAGGTAATAGAATTTATTACTTAGAACTATATATATGATTTATTACTTAGAACTATATATATGATTTATTAACTTTTTGCTATTTCTTTACTAGTCAACTCACTAATTATATTTTCATCATCTACAATTTCTTCAGCATTATTTAAATCTTGTATTTCCTGTAAAATTGTTAGGAGCATAACTTTTGTTTTATTTTTTAGATTAGTGTATTTTGTATGTTGTGACTCAGGAAGTAAAACAAGCACTGAATTAAAAATTGCAAAGAGTTCTTCCTTTCTCATTGTATTTTCATTACTCAATGCATCAGCTTCTTGCTCTGTTACTGGAATTGGATGCCAAATATCAGTACTCGTTTGCTGCAGTAAGGTATTTCTAATAAATATTTGTCTTTTTTCTTGTGCAAGCATACTAAACGATTTTATTTCATCACTTAAGTTAATATCACCATCTAAATTAGTCATTGTCTTATTAATTTTTTCAGGGTTTAAAAACTGTTTCTTCCTCAAATATATACGAAAGCGTTGTTGTTCTACATGAGAATCAGGCTGAGTCTGCGGTTCTGAATTTTCATTGCTCTTATATCCAATAATATTAAAGAGGTTGGTACGTAGCTAAATTTTTTTAAAATTAATTTAATGCTGATTAGAATTTGCAAATATTCAAAATGATTATTTAGCTTAAGAATATATCAGTGATTAATTAAATTCTTAAGCTAGATAACCCAATTAATTAGAAGAGTCGGATTAAGCAAATTAAAGCACAATATATATTTATTTATTAAATTACTTTGGTAAAATTTGTATAATTTCTTGCAGCAATTTCCCAGTGGCATTGTGATGGTACTGGAGGAATTAGAGATTTTTAATGCCTTATTAATCTCTTCTACCACGGCGTCAAGACCTTGATATTGACTATTAAGTTCAGAACGAGATACTACTGAAGCATTTACAACAGCTTCACGAACATTAGGCTTTAAATATAGTAAATTTTTTTCATATGATATTTCTAATTACCTATAAATAGGATGGCGTCTAGCTGACCATATTGGTGCAAATTGACATCTAGCAGCACTTTGCAACAAAGATCAATTTGTTCTAACTCCAGTACGAAAGTTAACAATAGCTTGAAGATAAGTAAAAATCTATTATAGATATATATTTTTTTGTTATATAATATTTTAATTTTTTATACTATAAATTAAAGATAAAAATTGTATTTAACTTGTTCAAATTTTAAGTTATAGATCTTATCAGTTTGGTTTTTGGCCCATTCTAAATATCCACTAGGAGTTGGATTGTTATGACTTAAGACGTATAGTCAAATTAACTCTGATGCCATAGAATAGTGATATATATTACATATGGAGTCCCATGACTTATGATAGTCAATGCATTTTCAAAAATACTCTAGTTGGTTATCTGTTTGATAACCCTAGCATTTAGCAAATATTTTTATATCTATTTTTCTTAAATCAAAAAAATAAATGTAAGTAAATTTATTATATCAATATAATTTAAAATTATTTATACCAGTTAAGTTCGATGAATGCTTTAAGCATATTCATCTCTTCATGTAGAGCACCCAGAAGTAAAATTAGCCATGGAAAGTCTTTTTTTAACTTTAAAGTTTGGTTATATGGCACACCATCGTATACAACAGGTATCTATTTATGCTTTCCAGACTTAATTCTAGCGATTATTTCAATATGTTCTAAAACCTTTTTAACATTTATTAAGGAATTAGGATTAACGAGAATTGGATCGGGAATATATAGTTCCGGAATTTTTATTTTTTGATTTGTTATTGTCAATTGTGTTATACTAACTTTAGATTCTTGTAATTTAATATTAGAATTTTTTGTCTCATAAGGTTTGAATGCTACTGTTTTATTTCTATTTTGAGATGATAATGATTATGTTTGATTTATTGAAGTAAGCATCAGTAATTTAGCATTGTAGTTAGGGCAATTTCGTTTTTTATTATCAATTTCCGACTTATGACATTTTAAGCATTTTTTACTTTATTAATTAGATTATTTTGCTTTTCAACTAGTTGATCAATTTCATTTGTTTCTTGATATTTTTCATGATTTAAGTTATTTATTATTTCATTAATAAAATAATAAAGCTTATTTTCAAGTTCTTTTTTCATATTATTACTTTATCATTTTCATTAAGTGAATTATTCCATGGATTAATTTCTAATTGGCTGTTATCATTTGGATCAAAATTAAAAGCTATAAAACTGGTTACAGTATGATATATAACTGTATTATGCTCTCGATCTAAATAATTTTTTTGGCCTTTTTGTTCATTATCAAAGGCCAAAATTAAAAATCCATTAGGCAAAGGCTTAGATTCAATTGCTAAACTTTCGATCCAATTCATAAACTTTGTATAACCTTCTCCACTAGTAATATGATTATCTATATCAATTATAAGTTTTAATCGAGCAATAGAATATTTAATTGCTAATGTAGCAAGGTTTATTTCAGAAACATATTTACTATGACATGACTTGTAAATTGCATCTACTGCAACTGTCCGTTTAAAAATTTTATTCTGATATATTTGTTCATTATCATTACCTGTAAGTACTTCGATAAATTTTACTACTACAGAATTGTGATCTTTAAGCCAAATGGATAGATTATATGCTAATAAATTTGTTAATAAAAACTGATTATGATTACTAATTAAAAAATAATATTATTATTTAGAAGATTTCGCTCTAATTCAGCAATTTTAGCAATTTCTGCTATACATTTTGGTTGAGTATTATATTGCTCATTCCATTGTTGCTTTAAATATTTATTTTCATTTTCTAATTTATTTTTCTCATTAATTAACATTTCAACTTGATTTTGGCACGAATTTAACTCTTCTAACTTAATGCTAAGATTAGCAATTTGTTTTTTAAGAGATTCACATTCATATTCTAGTTTATAAATTTTATTATTTTTAATTTGAATAGCTTGTAATTGCTCCACATGGTTAGTTACAAGATTAGATAAAGAATTCTTTAATGCATCTACTTGAGCTGAAAGGTTATAATCGCTATCTATTGTTACTTGAATTCCAATATCAACCTTTGTTGGTAACTCTATTTGAGCTTCATTTAAAATAGAGTTATTATTTGATAAAAATTTAAAATTATGACTTCTTTTCTGAGGATAATCTGATAATTCATTCTTTAAGTAATTTAAATAATTATCCTTAGCTACAATTTGATTGTAGTATTTTTCACAAATTATAAACTTTTCTAACTCATTTTGAAGATTATTTAATTCAGGAAAATAAGAACTAAATAGTTGAATTTGACTTTTAATAAGGTTAGTAGATGTATTCCGAATTCATTGTTTTTTTTTAGTTTTATACTCAACTAATTCTTTTGTATTATGATAAGGCTTAACAAGCAAAGCAAATATGCAAGATAGTACTTCTTCATCTTTATTTAATTTATAAAAATATAATTATACAAATGATTAATTATTTTTTAAAAAAATTATAATTTAAATTATAATTTACTGGCCATTTTTTAAATATTAGGGCAACCAAAAAAAATAAAACTTTAAAGCTTTCAATTTATCATTCATTATTTATTTCATAAAAAATCCAATGTGATATATTTATGATATCATTAAGGGCTAAATTTGATGATAAATTGAAAGCTCATTGCTTCATTTTTCTTTAACTAATATTAATATAATACATATAGTTGGGCCTGAAGTTAATACCTGTATAAAGTTGCAACTTCAGTATATCCAAAGTTATACTTATCTAAACTTGCTAACTAATATATGCAAGGGATATCTAATGCTAATTTTAAAGACTAATTTTAGTTAAGTATAATTTTAGATGCCTGAAGTCGCAATTTCTAGCTTTAGACCATATAAAGTTAATTAATTTTCTAACATGACTTGCCCAGTTTTAATTTTTAATTAGATAACTAATTTTAATTAAGTATAACTTTAAGTACCTAAAATGTTGAAGTGGCAATTTTATATGAATATTAACTTCAAGCAATTCTTTGAATATGTGCCAAGTTGGCAGCGCATTATTTGCCAGTTTTAATTTTTAATCAAAAAATTTTAAAGAATTAATTTTAATTAAGTATAACTTTAAGTACCTGAAATGTTGAAGTGGCAATTTTATACAAATATTAACTTCAAGCAATTCTTTAAATATATGCCAAGTTGGTAGCACATTATTTGCCCAGTTTTAATTTTTAATTAAAAAAATTTTAGAGAACTAATTTTAATTGAGTATAACTTTAAGTACCTGAAATGTTGAAGTGGCAATTATATACAAATATTAACTTCAAGCAATTCTTTAAATATTTGCCAAGTTGGCAGTACATTAGTCAGCAAAAGTAATTTACACCAAATAAAAAATTTAATGATAACGATAATAATATAATTATTATAAACTTTAATAGCTAGTTTTTTATAGCAATTTCTTGCTTGAATTATGTTCTTTATTTCCTTTCATTTCTTTACAACCTTTAAAGAAATATTTGTAAGTTTATGAATTATAAATTATAACCAGAATAAAGATAACTTCAAAATTCTTAATATAATACATGTTGAAAATTTGGTAATAAGTCTTAAATAAATAGAACTGCTTTCTAATTACTAAAAGGTATTATTTACTTTTAAACCTAACTTTGTTAACTGTATATTCGAAATTACAGTTTTTTTTACTGTGCAGCCTGTATGCTTCACACAGATCCAAAATTTTATACTCACTTTTTTTAACAGTAGCGTATTATATGAGTGAAGTTAAAACAATCTAGCAAAGTAAATACGCAGTTTTTTTTTTTGCTTACAGAATAAAACATTTTGCAAGATGATTTGGATAATGCCTATTTTGGATTTTAATTTATCTATTTTAATAGTATCCATACAATAAATTTTGATCACTTATATAGTATTTATAATACTATAGTAGCCAATCAATTTTAATTATGATAATTAAATTCTAGAACATCGATTTATAATTGTATAATGTAAATCATTACTGTATTTAGAAATAATATATATAAAAAAACACCAGACTGCATTAGCAGTATACTCATGGTAAGGAGGTTTTGTAGCAATAATTTTGGAGGGATAAAAGTGGATAGTTTATTAAATAAGAGAATTAATGGTAAGTGAGAAATGTTTTTAATTAAATTATTATGTGATTTGTTTAAGATAGTTGAAAGAAATATGAAATGATCTAAAAGGATAGCAACTGGTGTATACCAGTCTGTGATGTAATATAAGGTAAGTAAAGTGAATGTTATAAGTGAAACTTGAATAGTAAGTAGATATATTAATAAGTAGTTTTTTAATTTATGGTCTGAATTGGTAGAATAGCAAATTAGTTAAAAATTTAAAGCTATGTAGCCAAAAAAAAAATAAATGAGAAAACTTTGTGTAAAAGATTTAATAATCAAATATGAGATATAATATTGCTCCAATTAAGATAATTGAGAGAAATATGAGGAAAAAAATCGAGAAGATACAAAAGATAAGTAGAAGTGTGATTAGCATTTTGAGAGTTGATTTTGTGAATTTTAATAATTTTTTTTTTAGAAAATAAATTTTGATGGTACGAATTTCTTTATGAAGATTTTATAATGAATTTGAGGGAAGAATGTGTATGATAACAATTGGTTAATCAAATCGTATTGAAAATTATTTGACACACAGTAATTAATAGACAATTATGAAATGATTCATAATAATTAGAGGTAAATTTGGTTTATTTATGATAAGTTATATTTGCAATTGTAATTGTTTCACTTTAATATACATAATATTTAGGGCAATTAATAATCAGTATATTTGAATTTAGAATATTGTTTAAAGTCGATCCAGTTATACACCTGCTCATGTGCTGGGAGCTTCTTTTTGATATCTCTTGTTAAGGTTTGTTGGTTGGCAAAAGTTTTCTTCCATAGATTCTCATACAAACTTATTATACCAAGCATATTGAATATAGATACTGATGAAAATTTAACAACATTGTTGCACTGAGCAAGGGTGTTCATAAGCTCTTCACTCATTGGATCGAAGTAAATTTAAAATTTTAATTAGGCAGAAATTTAATAGATCAACCAAATGTGTTATTATTTTGATGAACAAATGAGTGACTCTTTTCTTCAAAAATCTATTATTGATAAAGATCGCTCAAGTATTAATCTTATATATTTTAGATATCAATCATAATAAACAATTAATTCTTAACAAATTTTTAACTTGCTTAAAAAGATAGCCACTTTATTTTTAATATTCAAAGCTTTTAAAACAAATAATCAAATGATTAATATAAATATATCAGTCTTTTAATGTTTAATCAAACTATAACGAATACTGGTTTTTCATTTTTTAGTTATTTAATTTTGAAATCTTGTCTGTAAAGAATAACTAAAGCTGAAAGGTTTGAGTAGATAGTTTTTCATTTTTTGATTGTAGTAAAGGAAATTTAATTGTTAAAATCATCAAAAGAAGGAGCTGACATAACTAAAATCAAAACTTTAACTGTTGAATGTAAAGAAATTTTTTTAAATAGGTTTTTTAGAAAGTAAGTAATATTATGAAAACAGAAAAAGTATGCTCAAGTATTTATTTCTATAAATATGGCTGTTAATTGTGATGCCTAAACATCTTCACATTTATTATCTGATCAATTAATTTAGATGCTTGAGAATAGCTAAGTTAATGCTATAAAAATTTGTAGAAAAAAATGAGTGTCATCAAGGGAAAACTTACAAGTCATATCTTTTGTTTATTTACTTTTAATAAAAATATCTTAAAAATCAGGCTAATACATACTGTTCTTAATATCATTTGAATTATCTTAATGAGACAATTCAAATAATATTAAGAACAGTAGATATTAAATTGCCTAATTTTAAAATATTTTTATTAAAAGCTAATATTTAAAAAGTATGACTTGCTCTACAGACGAGGTCAACAGTTCGATTACAGCTGGTAGTAATTAATTTAATTAATTATCTCCGTAACCTACGGGAGCTTTCAAATGCGAAACCCTGTGACGATAAGACCATGTGAAGTACTTATTTGGCCTATAAAGAATTCTTGGAAG